TTATGATTACCTTTAGTTTAGATGACTCCAACTGTTTCTCAGATTCTCTTGTTAGACGCTCGACCTCCGCACAAGCAATTCTCCTTTGATCATCCATAGTATGAGCAGCGGATGCTGCAGCTTCAGCTGCTTCAGCAGTTTCAGAGAGTTTTTCAGCTATTTCCTTTATCGCTGAATCCCTTGCTCGAAGGTCCCTTGCCAAATTTTGCAGCTCTTCATCCTTCACTCTCAGGGTTTCCTGCAATTCAGATAAAAATGTAAATCTTTAGTTTTAGAAGGTGGCAGTGGTTAGAATCCAAAACCCAAATTATTCTTTTATTTGAAGAAACTGAAGATAAATTTACCAAAAATGATGTAATTGATAGATTTGTACAGTGAAACTAAATGCATTCCCTAATCATGCCAGAACAAAATCGGACACTTAAGAGAATAAGCACCACATATTATGTTTAATTGTCAAAATGTGAAACTACATGAAACACATTATTCAAAAATTGGAGAGGAGAGAACGAATTGAGCAGACGAATTGGTGATGGTTCTTTGGTCGATAGGACATACAGAGAGAGGAAGGAGGTTGTCATTCAGATACATCATAATACGACTCTTTTACCTTCATGATGGATAAATCATCCACAGGGAAATCTGGTGTCTTCGTCAACATAGCTCCTAAGGCATTTCGCATGGAAATTTGCATTGCAGCTTCAATTTCTTTAGATGCTTCCAGGGCTGTCGAGTTAGCAGCAGCAACAACAGTGGCAACTGTTCCTAACTTTGTGGACCCATTTCCACTTAAGGTGTTCACTGCTTCTTTATGAGCCTTCAGAACCAGTTGTGTCGCACTGCATTTGGAAAGGGGAAACCAGAAATTGAAAACAACGAAACTGAAGAGTAGAAATCAAAAGGTAAAATAAAATAAGTAAAATAAAAATAAATATAAACAAATAAACAAAAAGTGCAACATGAACTTAACATGAAATGATTGAAATCACATGAATTCTTATAGTGATCGATTTGACAATTGAATAGACCATATCAAGTAAAATCATTAAAGACTAAACAGGGAAATAGCTAAAATCCAAGTTTCACCTCACATTATTCCAAATTAAGTCATAAAAATTGATTCAGTTCACACGGTTCAAGAGGTATGTGATAGTATCAAAAATCTAGAAGTAAAGTAATGAAGTTCAAGATAAATTATGCCATTTGTTGGTTATTAACAAGTAAAAAATTGCGAAAGGGACACATCATTGTGTATAATCTAATACGAACGAGAAAAAATAGAATATAGGTACCATAGGGAGCTACCGCCAAACAAAGAGCATGAGTATTTAACGGAAAACAGCAGTAATAATTTACACAGAAATGTGGTGTCTTAATCCTTAAAGCCATGCTGTGAATTCAAATCAAATCAAACAGAGTAAAAAAAAAATGAAGATAAAGAAATTGATGTAGAAAGAGGGGTTTATATGCAATGATTATTCACATCACCACAAGAGCAAAGTGGCAAAGAGATGAGAAAATAAAACAAATAAGGTGTGTTTCATTCTTAACAACCATGTTAGCAAATTATATGACATAAATGACAGAATTGACCACTCACTGTAGAGTAGACACCCAAGCTCTAGCAGCAGCAGGAGTTTCTGCACAAAGGAAATAATCTTTTCTCTGTGGGGTCCCAATGTCTACGAATCAGGTTAAGAATTCAAAATCTAAGTGCTGTTAAATTTAAAAAAATAATAGCAAATTGAAAATGAAATCAACAAAAATTACATGAATGCATTCAGAATTTCCATATTCCAACTCTATTGTACTTCCTATTACCCCCACCACACCGCTGTAAAAAATACTAGTAAAGGAAATAATTAATTAACAAATATGAAATAAAGGTGGATACAGAAGCAACATCCATCATACTTGGGCAGCCCCCTGAATCAAACAACAGAATATAAAGATGAAAACATGATTAATAACTTATTGAGAACAATGCAATGCATCTACGCAGAATAAAAAGGATATTTTATACCATAAGATCAAACATGAAACAGATCTTACTGGAAATTCACAGGGGAAATTGTAATGGTACTGTTTGCATCAAATGTCATGGTTCCTTTGACCGATGGCTCATTTCTCCTTACCCTATAGATGCATATCAATTAACACATAGGTTATACATCGCATGTCGCCCAGGGCATAAAATAAAGTGAGGGGTTGTATTCAGCTTCTTACTTGTACTCCATCTTCCCAGTTGTTGGGTCTAAAATTACCCATCTCTCATTCCACTTCCTCAGCTGTTTAGAATAAAAAGTGAGGAACTCACTTATTCTGATAAAAAGTTGGCTACGTAACCAATATATTAGTACAAACAATAATGAAAGTCTCACTAAATACGAACAATGAAGAGTCGAATAGATATATACTTTTCCCTCCATGGTAAATACAGCGACAATTACCTGAAGGAAACTCTCTTGTCAAAACTACAGGGCACAGACATGAATAAACAAGATTAAGCAGCTGAAATTCCTTATGGAACTATCTCTAATTCATATTTTTTTCGCATTTTGTAACCACAAGCATCCACTGGCAAAGTCTATGATTCGCTCTTTCCAACTTAAAATATGTTCTACTTTACCATTTGGTAAACAAAATTTAAATTTATTCTGTTAGTGTTGAGCAAGCTACGCTACAAGGCCACATAGAACAACAAAAGCCAAACCATCCGTATCAAATTTCTTTTGCCAGCTAAAACAATCAGCCTATAAGGCAAAATCAACATGAATGAAAACCAAAAATTATAACTCAACTACGAGATCCCACCCAAATAAGATAAATCAAAAAAAATCAAAATCCCATTTCTGAATAACTTAAAAAAAAAAAAAAAAAAAAAAAAAAA